TCATCATCATCATCATCATCATCATCATCATCATCATCATCATCATCCGTTGCTGGGTCGTGTCACAATCTCCGGTGCACGGTGCCATGGATGTTTTCATCTCGGCCGCTGGCCGCTTTCAGGACCAGTGCTGGCACTTTGCTCGTGACCTTGACTGCCACTTGGGCAGTCCTGAGGCACGACCAGCGACGTCAGCGACGCCATCCCGCCTGCGAGCTGTTGCGCTAATGACACCGGTGAAGGGATGTTCCTTGTCGTGCTTGGAGGGCGAGAAGCGCCTGGAACTCGTGTAAGAAGGTATAAGCGACAAAGTGCTGAAACGAAAGTAAACAGACGTGTTCTGAACTTTGTGCTACTTACTGTGATCGGTAGACTATTTATCTCAGTTATTATCAGTTCAATCTATTAACTATTGCCAAAAACCATGCCCCTGTGGTCTATTCTGTTCATTTGGTGGTAACTCCCTTGCTTGGAGGCTAATTGGTCGCCTCCGCTTAGTGCGTTTGTTTGAGCTGACGGAGTCCATTTCGCCTCGCCCTCCTCACCTTTCAGAACTTCCAAAGCCGATGGTTTGGTGGCTCAACAGCTAGCGCAATCCTGCTCTACATGGGGTGGATGATGGTGGATGCTTCCTAAAAGAGTATGCAAAGGGAACACTACCCCACATGTGCCTCGCTAGGAAGGCGACCATCGGAACACATGGGACGGGCCGCCAGTGGGGGCCACGGGTCAGGTCGGGCTTCTGTTCAGTTCTCATCCTGAAACAATCATGGAAGTACTTGGCACCCATGGAAGTACTTGCAATGGTGCCAATCATGGAACAACCATTCATGGAAGTACTTGCGCACTTCACACCATTCTGTCGTTGCACGACAAAATAGCTTCATACCTCTTAGAATCTTAGAAGTTCTTGCGAGAGACCAATTCGCCACGAAGCGGTATTCTTTACCAGACCAATTCGCCAGATCAAGCCAGCAACCCAGATTCTTAGTTCAGTATGTCACCGTGACAACGCTGCACGAGAGGGAGCCAGGAGCCCCGAGTGATGTGCAAAAAGAGGCTCACAGCGAAGTGTGGTGTGTGGTGTTGTTTTCAGACCCCAATATAGATACGATAGACAAGTAAATCCCCACTGAACATGTCTATATTGAAAACCGTTGCTATCTATTTGGGGATTACCATGGATTACCATTCATTTGTTAACCATCCAGGTGAGTCAGTTTGCACTGCCCAGCCAAACACAAGGTATATAGATGTCGCACGTGCCCGAATGTTTTTGATCCGCGCGCACGTCATGATCATGCAAAGCAGTATCATGCAGTGGCGACACGGTCCAAATGGGGTTTTGTAGCTTTGTTTTATGCCAGGGCCTGCCAGGGTCAACGAATGCAGGCTTGTGGTTCACCTCATGAGTCATGAGCTAAACATTAAGGGACCACTTCTCATGATGTTTACTTTGTAGATCCAGTTGGTATCCTCGAGGCCAGGGTTCCCAGCTCAAGAGGGTGTGTGGAGTCCGGGGTCATCCAGCGACACGAGACCTCGGTGGAACTGGCCACCTGCTCGCTTCGCTGTGCGGTGCGCCTCCCAAGCAGATGCTGACAGACGTCGTCACCGCCCGTGTTCGAAGAAGTGCGTTCGTCTTTGCGGGTTCAGTTGGCAGGTTTGAAAGGAGCAGTTCAGGTCTGAGCTGATCCACACATTTGTCCAGTTTGGATGGACGATGACGATGACGGACAAATCCATTTGGAGCGAAGAGAAGATGTGACTTCCCTAGCCTGCGACACGATGGTCCGACCTTCCTGGTGCGAACGATGCCATGAAACAGGTCTTGCTCGACCCTGACATCGCATTACATCTCCAAATGCCTAGAGACTGGCCAGTCCATCCTATAGCCAGTCCAATCTCACTGGTCAACTCTGCGGCAGAGTGTGTCCTCTTCCCTTTTGGCTCAAGTGGGCCTGCGATCAGCGCCCCCCTCAAGGGGGGTGCAGCATCCGCGGTGCCACAGGCTATTGAAAGCTTACCAGCACAACAACTGAAAAGCTAGCCCAAACCAATCATGCAAATAGCATCACCATAGATGGAATCAGTTTTTTGGCTTGTAATTCATGAGGTGATCAGCATCCAACAAAGATACCCATGCCTCAGGCCATCACCTACCATGCTCAGATTGTCGGAGCATGTCGGAGCATGAGTTCTGCCAGCATTAACAAGCAACAGTCCGAAAATGCCAAACGAAACCACCACCAATCTTGACTTTGAATCAAGCCAGCATCAGATGTTTCCAACTGTCTAACTGAGAGTAGCGGAGATGTGGCCAACAGGAGCCCCATGTCTCAACAAGAACCATATCTTCCTTCAGTTTTCTGGGCTTCTTCTCCCATGCCATGTCGCCAGATCGTGGAGAGCCAAGCCCGGACAGCCCAGGCCGCGGCGCCCGCGCGCACCGCCGTGGCCCGGAGCCCATCGAGCCGGGCGAAGTTCGGCTGCTGCGGCCCCGAGCGGGGCAGCCTGCGCCACGTCCGGCGCAGCAGTGGAAGTTGAGCCTGGTGCCCCCTCCAGCGGCCAGAGCAGGAGATGGTCAGGCAAGAAGGGAAGCTCAAGGAAGCAAATTGCTCAGTTGGGGTGGAACTAAGACAACAACTTTCCTCGGTTTGAAGGTGGGTGACTTGTTTGGGATTTTCTTTGAAGCATCAAAGGTCACTTTAATAGATTAGATTGGAAGATCTTCATTTTTCGGAATGAATGGATTCTGGGATCCCCATGGCCATGGATTTGCGATCATGGAGGTCTCAGTACAGCGGGTCCCGTAGAAAAAACGGATGGGGGAAGAGGGGAAGAGAAGGAGCAGAAAAGTAACCAGGAGTTGAACAGGATTGATGTATCCAACAACAATGCATCCAACAGATTGTTGTTGGTTGGATCCAAATGGATAAGAATACACCAAATGGAACCATAAGTTGGATGCACTTTATTATGCATCGAAACACGTTGTCATGCGCAATGTCCCTAGACCGGGACGAGTGAGCCTGGCCACATTTCACTCAGCTGTGAGTTTTCAATGGGATGGAGTGGTTTAATGATGTATACGTTAATATATTAGTTAATAAGTCTGATACACCTAGAGGCCCTGTAGTTATGTCACAGGGAGGATTCAAAAGTACTATGTAACTTTTTGTACTGCTCACCCATCTCCAACAACTCATGGACCAACCTGTGTGCGGTGTTTTTCTACCTTCCCCGGTCGTGGCCCTCGCGACCTGCGGCAGGTGGTCTACTTGGGCCTCTCCAAGTTGGCGACACTGGACGCCATCCGCTTCTTGGTCCATCTCAATGGCCAAGAACACATGAGTCGCAAGGACGCTACGAACGGGGGAATGATTGAGTTATGGGGTGACCCAGTGGGTGACCCACACACCCAACGACATGGCCCGCCCCAGAAACATCCCAGAAACATCCAAAGCATCGAACCCCGAATCCAGAACCCGACCTGTTTGGTGAAGCTTTGGTTGCTTTCGGGTCCAAGACGGCGTGGGACCGCCGATCGGTGTCGCGGCGTCGTGCGTGAGCGCCAGCGGAGTGTTCTGGGAACGGGCACCAACGGCAAACGAGAGGCAGGAAGAAAAGGAGGGACATGTTTTAAGATGTTTTAAGGTGTGTCTTTTTCATTTTATGTGTGTGTGTGTGGGATTTTGTGTGTTTAAGTTTTGTCCTTGTTGGCAACCACCCAACGGAAGAAGGGAGGCAGGGGAAGGAAGGAACAAAGGAGAGCAAAAAGGAATAGATAGATAGTCAACTATAATATCGTTATGTTTGAAAAAAACAGCAGAGATAGTTACTATGCATCCCTCGGTTGTGCGGTTTCTGGGCTGGCCCCAAGAGAACAGAGCGCTTGGTAAAGTGGCTCCTTCCTTCGGGCGTGTGACAGTTTTTTAGTTGGAGATACCTTTTGTGAGACACTCAACGTCAACCGTAAATTTAGGCAAGGAAAGAGCCATGAATACGTGGCATACCTTTTGTGACCAACCCGAGGGAATCATTTCGAGAGGAAGTGCTCCGCCTGCAAGCGGAAAGAACAACAATAGATAGAAACACAACTTTCTGAATACTTTGTTTTATATAGTTATAGTTTTTAGTTGGTTATATTACTTACTAATACTTTTGTTGTTATAGTTATGTTATTACCTTGTGTTACTTTTACAATAAGAAACATGTAGACATGAAACCAGCCACAACCCCACAAATGGTGGATGCAAAGAGCCTGCAGGTTTTTTCTGAAACATGTAGACATAGGACCTGCAAATACGTATAGCGGTGGATGGTTAAGGGCCACCAGGCATTTGCCATTTGACATGAGACCTTGGATGCTTTATTACTATTTTTTTTTTTTTTTTCGGAACTCCGAGGTTTACAAAGTGCTGCGCTTGCCCCGAAATCTGCATTTCCAGCATTGTTCAGCCATCCCAGCACAAAAAGAAACACCAAATAAAACACAAATAAACCCAAACCATTTCCGGGCCCGTTCAACACGTTTGTTGAGTATAAATACACAGTCGAACACAACACATTACATGCATACGACACCCATACAGATAGATAGATGTACACATTCTGCGAACAAAAGTTTGCCCTACCTTTGGGTGCAAGCCCCCGTCCCAGGTTTTTCCCGCTAGAGATTTGTCCATGGCACGGATGGATTGATTGATGAGATTGATGAGAGAGGATTGTTCTCACACCTGATCCTGGCAAATTTGTTTGCAATCTCCCACGCTCCCGGCATGCAAATTGACCCGAGCATCTAATTCAGCCATACATGGGCGTGAAAACCACAAGCGTGGGGGTGGGGATCTGTGTCTTTTTTTCAATTGGGCGATGTTCAAGCCGAGCTAGTTTCCAGTTTCTTTCCACTTACGCGCGTGTCAATTTCTTTTTTGGGGGGGAAGTTTTCAGGACAATATTCCTTTACATGGTGTCTTGATCTGTGTGATGTGTCCTTTTTTTCTGGTGAGATCACCATCCTGACATTTACCGAATGCTCGGGCGGCGGGCGAATCGCTGCCCGAGGATTTGAAACGCCCTATGACAAGTTGCGACAGCAGCTGGGGCGTTTTGATGAGCGGAAAGCCGTTGGATGTCATTTTGTTTTTTTAAACATGTCTTTTTCCCGTCATGGAGGTTTTCAAGCAAGAGTTAGCAGGGGGTGGACATTAGAAGGGTCGCCCTAGTGAAACACAATTGGAACAGATACCGTATCATATGGTGTTTAGATATATGTAGTAAGATTGTAGATCATCAGATAAAGGCTGCATGTCATTACTGCTCTTTGCATGTCAATGGGCCGAAAAAAGGAAAGGCTGCAGTCTCCACATAGTGGTTTGACCACGTTGGAACCTTCAACACAGCAGCAATGATAACCGCACTAGATAAATAGTTGGGGAGCGGAACCCGTCTTCGCGCCGCCAGCTATTGTGTGGAGTGTTTTGGTGTCAGGGAAATGGCAGCAACCCGTTTCCAACTCCCATCATCCACAAGTAGAACTATGAGCAAAATCGTGCTTCGGAGTGTTCAGGGGCGGCACTGATTCTGACTGCTTCAGTGCGAGAGATTTCTTTGCGGATGGTTGGCGGCCGGAAGTCGTGTTCTATCACACACTTCCCAGCTGAACTTACCCCGCAGCTCACACACAAACCTGGTATTTGCGCACGGTTCGCCACCGGGCGCGCTTCGCCAGCCACCGGGCGTGTTCTCTATCCCCACACTCTGGAACCCTTTTGGACCCTAACTTAGTGCGTCGCAGATTAAAGTCTTCGATCGACTGGCATGTGCTCCTGCTGACTCTCACACCTCGCAGAAAAAAAGAACATGGAAGTGGTGTTTCCTGCGACAGTACCAACCACCATGAAGCCGAAAAAGTGTCCATAGAGTTTAGACCGTATATCCTGACGCACCCTTGCAGTCGTCATTCGTATGTACGATCCATTCCCAGTTGGCCTTGTCTCGAGACCGGCGCCCCTGGCCCAAGCTCGTCGCTCGCCCGCATCGTTCGACGCGTCGACCGCGCTCCTTAGGTGGGGTGCCAGGGATCAGTCAGACACGCCCAGCTTGGAGGAGGAGGGGGTTGCTGTCAGTCAGCCCGACTCGCCGCCTACGCTGAAAGTCTCAACACTTTCACAGAAGCCCCGCCCACTCCCCCAAAGATCACCAGCCATCAATAAAATGTGCATCATTAATAGAACATCTCTGTATTGGCCCTCGTGGGGGTGTGGGTGGGGCTTTGCAGCGGACCGGACCTCAGTCTAGGCGCGTCTAGGCACGCCCAACCTTTCCGGGAATCAGGATTTCTATGGTGGATTCGAACGTGAACTTGGTGGCGTGGATGCTTTTTTGTAGTTTGATTCTGACAATTGTCACCGTGGTCATCCACCCCCTCCTCCTGGACGAGCGATTGAACGAGCAAATACGATCAGAACAGTCTTGACTATCTTGACCGCTAGTCCAGGCTTCAGAAGCCCCTTCTGCACTTCCAAGCCCATCACATGTACAAATCCCAAACACTCCATGTGTGGCATATATTATGCTTACATTGACCCCCAAAACCACCCCAACGGCAGTCCCATGTGTCGTGTCTGGGAATGATCTTTTGCAAGCCAGTTTCCCGATCGTCCGTCCGTGAGCTTTCATCAGTACTCCCCTTTGGTAACGTTCATGACCAGCTCTGAAACAAAAAATACGTTTACCGGTTTTGCTGGATGCTGAATCGTGCCGTGTTTTGCAAGTTGTTTCTTCACAACATGGGGAATATGCATGCATTACCCATGCATGACATTTCGTCACATGAATTGGGTTTCGCAACTCTTGCAGGAAGCAAAATCTGACCATTGGCTTCTGAGTCACACTTCCTGGAGCAGCTCCGGCACGGGCACGAGCTCCGCCCGCGGCGCGGGCTCTCGGAAAGGCACTCCACAGGGTGCACCGAGCGGAGAGCCCACATGTCGGCGGAGGACAGGGGTGGTGATGGGTGTTGGAAAGATGTGGTTTCTGGCGGTGTCCTGCATCGTTTGGAAGGAGTGCTGGGAGTTGAAGTGTTTGTTCATTTCATGGTGCCTGCATGTGCCTGTTTGGTTGGCTCAAGATGAAACAAAACTGTAAGTGGCACGTTCGTAAGGGTGAAGGTTTCTCCTTTCACCTGCCCCTTGTTCTTGACATGTTTCCATGTGGTCAGGAGCGTCCAGGCCCTGGAACAGCTTCGATCCGACTTGATGAGCCACTCCACGACGGTGCCCTGCTATCGCTACAAGGGCTCCGCACGTGGCTGGGCCCATTTTTCGGCAGATGAGCGTCGTTTTGTTCTGTGAGAGTGTTTGCAAACCACCCCTCTTCCGGTGGGGCACACCACTTAGAGCACCTGCAATCACTGGACCGGCAAAGAACACCATTTGCTCACTGAGTGAAGTCATCGGACCGGCTGTTTGAATGACCCGTCATGGTCTCGTCATGGTGACTTTATCCGATAGGCCTCGGCGTGTGAGGCGTAATCCAGGCATAGAAAGGGGCCATTTCGTGAGACTGAAAAACGAGGAGAGGGGGGTCCACTTCACCACTCCACTTGGAAGCCACATGGGGCCCTGGGAAACCTCACCGGTGGTTCCAGAGTCCCTCCTGCTACAGATCGCCTGAGGTGTGTGGGATGCCATCCGGGAGAATGCCAATCAGCAATGTGTTGCTTGGCCGCCACGAGCTAAGTGGCAGCAGATAGTGTATTGAATCATTAGTCGATCCATACCAGGTATACGGTAAGAGGGAGGGAGGGACAGCGGGCGGGTGGGAGGCAGAGAGAGAGAGAGGGAGACAGAGAGGGGGTCATACCGGCCCCTTTGCGAATCTTCTTGAGGCAACCGATTCTGCTGGGCGCAACACTTCCGGCCGAAAGTGTGTTTTCCTCGAATGGTGTGAAGGTGACCTGAAAGTGGCTGACCCAATACAATTTGTAAAGAAAGATGGTTTTGCAACAGACCTTGTTCCATCCGGTGCCATTTTTGAACAAACCTACAGATGAAGTCCAGATTCAACTCCTGCCTGGTCACCATCCCCGGTTCTCTTGTTAACATCGCACTCCCAAACATCCCCAGTGGTCATCCCCACTTCCACAACTTGTGACTGAGGTGAAGATGCGGCGGGCGCTGGAAGCTGCGATGGCACAGAAGAAGGCCACGGCCTCGGCCAAGCCGTGCGACGGGTGGTGCACAGATCACTTGCACCCCCCATGGATTTAGCCCATCCAAAAAAGCCTGGGACTGAACTTTCATGCCTGAAATTGGGTCTTGTTTCCTTCAGATGCACGCGTTTCAGCCGCCGCCGCTGTCCATGGCGTTCCGGCGCACGGCGAATTGGTTCCCTGAGGAGCTGCCGAACCTGGAAGAGATGCTGGCGAACCTCGAGCGACAGCGCCTTCCTCTCACGCCGCCTCCTGAGGACCCTGAGAGGTCGGCGGCACGGGGGAGGGATGCTGGGCAGGAAGGTAGGGACGGCTGGCCCTGAAGACGTTCTAGCATCTTTCTAGTTGTCTTGATACTTTTGACAGGTGACACTGTTGATGCCTCCTGAAGACTTTCTAGACATCAACAGTGGATACGTTTGGGATTTCAGTGCTGGCTTTTGATGGCTATTTGGGCTCTTCCCCTTGGCACACCTTGGGTGCCACCTCAGGGCAAATCCGGTAAAGGAATCATGTGGCTTGCAGGGGTTTGGTTCATTAGAATGCTGGCACAAGAGGGGGGCCTCAGTTCTGGGCTGCACAATCCCAACACACATCAAGACGAGGTCGCTTTTTTGCATGAGAATGTTGACAGCACAGCCATTGACCTGTTACCTTTATAAACGATACGAGGTCAACCAGCTATACATCAGCTTAGCTGCTTCGCAACCTACGACGGCGGGGTCGCTGTGCAGGGTCGCCGCCAGGCCGTTGTACCTCACTTGTGTCGTGCTTCTCTACGTGTCGCCCTGCAACCCCTTGAACTTGGAGAACATCATGATGCTCAGGTGTGCCCCCCCGCAGACTGGAGAAACGATGACACAAACAGTGAAATATAGTGGAACAGAGTGTGGAACAGTGCTGATGACACAAACAGTGAAATATAGTGGAACAGAGTGTGGAACAGTGCTGTGAGGCCTGGCGGATTTTGAGTTTTTTTTAATACCTTGCATTTGTCACAGTGAGACACCAGTGAGGCTTGGAGTTGTGGAAGGACCGGACGCCAAAGACCATGTGAAACACGTGTGCCGTGGGAGCAGAAAGCTTGGCCCTGGCGTTTGCAAAGAAGCCAAATTAAGCACCATTGTTGCCCGATCATGTTCTTCATTTTGATGTGCCTGAACCCAAACACGAATCGAACGGGGGGCTGATTGGCAAACTACTTGTAAGCAGGACATTGATGACTGGTCGACAATAGAAGAGAACAGCTCTCAGCTCTCAAACGATCTTTGGACTTCCGTTTTTGCCGACCGCAACCTGATTGATTCCCAATTTGGAGCACCGACCATCCAAAACAAAGGTTCAGATCGATTCTAAAACAAACAAGGTCATGGTATATCTCCAGCTAGGGAAGACTTCCATTTACAAAACACCTCCACCTTCGACCAATCTCTATTTGCATCAAACCCCATTTGCATGCAGCTTCTTCCAATCTCAGAGGCGTGCACGAGAGTCCGTGGAAGCCTTCCACCGTGTCGTGGTGCCCGGGGCGGCCCCTCGCACGCGTGAGAAACAGAAGGGTTTATCAGATGTTCCGAATTCGATGGTCGACCATTTGACGTCAAATGGTTTTTCAAAGCTTTGGGTGCCATGATTCTTGGGATTCAAGAAGAGTGCTTGGGTGCTTAGATGTGCTGAGCTAGGGTAGCCTTTCGTCCAGCGCCATCCGACAGGTGGGCGAATTTATTGCCCCTTCCAACCCTCCGCTGGACAGGTCAAAGAAACCCATTTTAGTATAGAAACATAGTAGCCCATTCCCAACTGGAAGGGAAACTGAAAATGGATTCTCGGGGCCGTCGGTTCTTGCAAAGTGCTCTCTTTTTGGAGTGGTCCATCTCACCCTTGGGACGCCTTGCCTAGCAGATCAGAGAAATCCACTAGCCGAACGGGCTCGGCTCGTTTGTTTCAAGTTGCCTCAGGTTGTGTAAGCGAATCTTGAAGAAAACTGCGTTTGGGGTTTCCAACAACTATTCACATGGGAACGACCGTCGATTGCCAACTGGGTGGAGTTGCTGATGTGGAGTGACCAATGAACTCACCAAAGTCAAGCTTTCCAAACTGCAAACTTGGACGCTAGTAAGCTATTCCACCACCTCCAACAGGTCACCTATTGAAACCTGTTAGGGCCTAACAACCCTCCATTTCGGAGACCTGTAGGAAGGCGCTAGTTTATGACGACTCTTAGATTCTGACGCAGTCAGTCGGGGGACTAAAGTTGTTTCCTCTATTTTCCGCATCAACCAGTGTAAACAGTTAAACAGAGTCCATATGATCTGACTTGGATGTTGAAAGTTTTGTTGGTAATGCATAACATGCGTTCAAACCTGAAAACCACCAGGCGGATCATCGAGGGCTTCACCAAGCCGCAGGTTGTGCAGGAACAGGGTTTAATTGAACTGCACTTCAGGTTGTGATTCCCTATAGCACGAACAGCTTGCAGAAGCACTTCGAGGGAGAGAAGCCTGCAGCCGCTTGGAGAAAGTCCGTGTTGGGGATGGGCCGAAAACCAGCGACGACTGAACAGGAAACGGCTCAAACATGTTTCAAGATATTAAAATATATATTATGAATATATTGTTTCAGAGTTCCTGGGTTGTGTTTCCGTGTTTCCATTCAAAACAAGGCCAGCTGCACCTCTCTCACGCTAGGTCCGCACTCTGACCAGTCGGCCGCAGGACCCGAGCGAGGTCGGGTGTGCGATGATCGGACCAAGGAGACGTGGAACAGCCTTAGAATGGCACCTTACAGACCCCCAAATAGAGAATATAGAAAGGTAACGAACCGTAAGATAGATAGAAACATATATATATATATAAAACGTTTAAATATATAGATAAACATGTCTCGGAAACCGTGCCAATCGGGAGGGCACCCACCGCCGCCAGCCCGCCCCAGCTCGCTCTCCGAGGTGCAGCTGCCTTTCGACTTTCGTTTGGAGATGGCCGATGCCGTCATTCAGACGTCCGAGCAGGTCGGGCGCGTGCTACGGGCGCAGTGGGGGGCGCTTTTGGATGGGCCTAGTAGCACGAACTTCTTTCCCTAAAGGATTCTGGTAGCAATTTGCGCAATTTGCCAGGCCGAAGTCAAAAAGCCTGCAACCATGTTCGGATCTTTTCCGGGGCACAGATGACGGCACCACTATGAACTGTATCAGTCACCCGGATTTCTTTGATCAGGCAGCAAGAGGCCCAACAAAAACTGGCTCCATCCTAGCACCGTTTCGGCTCATTTCCCTGTCTCAGATGCAACGCCCCGTCCGTGCTTTCGCCGAACGAGGAGTGGATCCTCACGGACAACTGCTGCTGGTCTTGGACCGAAAACGACGGTCGCACGCAGACCCGAAATGACGCGAACGCACCGGGCGAAGGGCACGGCACCGATGGAAGGCATTGAAGGATCCTGAGATATCCTGAGAGCGATGCTGGATGTTTTTTTCCGCTCTTTTCCATTGGGATATTGAACATCACCCATCATTACATCATTACCATTCATTAACTTTCATTTCATGTTGCCAAATGTTCAATGATTGGTTCTGATTCATGCCACGTTCTGTTCACGCTTCACGGTTCACGGCGTTTTGTTGGGTGTAAAGCACTTCAACCAGATATGCTCCACAGAAGTGTTCAAGTGTTCATCATGTTTGCAAGCATTTGTGCACCTCAGGACCAGCTGCACAGTTTTTATGATCTTGAAATACCATGAGCTCCCCTTCAAGTCCTTCATTTCTGAGCTCCCCTCAAGCTCCGTGGCGTTCGTCCGGGCCACCGTGGAAGCCCAGTTTGGGAAGAAACCATGGACACACCAAGGGGTCAGGGAATCTGAGCTGCGAACGCAGCGAAACGCAGATCTGCGAATCTAGGTCAGGAGGGATGCCTGGCCAACGCCCCTGGAAAGTTGTTGGACTACATCAGCCCCTGGGCGCGTTCGTTCTTTCGGTTTGGGGACGTCGGTTTGAGTCCGGGTGTTGGGGACCGTCACCAGACCCGGTGGACGTCCGGTCAGGAACGTACGTTTCTTCACCTGACAGGACCGGAAGAGGTGGTTTGACACCCATGGGAAGAGGCTATGGTCCACAAACACCTCTTGACAGGTCCTGGTGCAGGTCACCCTTTTTTTTGGACACCTGCCGACTGAAGAGACTGAAACAGGACTGAAACAGGTGAAAACGAACATGAACAGGTTGAAACAGGATGTAAGGGAGGTGGACCTTCTTCCAAGAATCTCCGGGATGGGACCAACAGGTGAAGCTTAACAAAATCCAAGAGACATGGATCGGAACACTCATCTGGGCTTTTAGCCAGATGGCCCAGGGAAAATTCCATGAGACAGTTGTTTTGACGTGCACAGAAAACGGTTCTTTTCCCCCACGAGATGTTGTTTTCCGCATGGTTGGCCCATTGGATGAAAAGATCTCTCACATACTGTCACATACTGTACCAAATGCCTTCACTACGACCATCCAAATGAAGAGCATATTGAAGAGCACAAGAACCACCATCCTATGATATTCTATGTACCTAAAGTCTGCGATGGATTGGGTTGGGATGGATGGATGGAGGGATGGATTGCCATTCGGCCGAGCCCCGGTCCCATGGTTGCTGACACAAACGATCAGGTGAGTATACGCGCAGTCGCTTGTTCGATCCTGGCTTTGACACGAAGGTCCTACAGGTGCGCGACGAGGACGATTGTGATGGCTTCGAGTGTGGACTCATTTGGGATCCTGAGTGGAAGGAGACTAGGAACAAGAAGCTAGTCAAGAAGCTACTAGGTTGGAGGCCGCTATTGGAGGCCATCGCTACTAGGTTGGAGGCCATTACTACTAGTAACAAGAAGCTACTAGGTTGGAGGCCGACGACTACACGGCCCGGTCAGACTTCTGTTCAACAGGTTGGATGTTTGACTCTGAGTGATTGCTCTTAATCTGGAGGTTGGACCAAAAAAATGACGCATATGCTGAATGTTGCTAATGATATCATTTTCACGCGACTCCTTGTTTCAAACCGCTGGCCCGACATGTAAAAGAAAAAGGTGATTCGGGAGGTTACACGTGCCAACGCACAACGGTTCTGTGCTGGCGACCCCCAGATAATTACCTTTCTTGCATTTCGTTGACATTGACTATCAGATTTGACCTCGTTGGGACAGACATACAGTGTGCAGAGAACCTTTGCTGGGGGAACTTGACCACATGAAGCATCCCTTCCCCTTGAGGTGAGTTGAGCTCATAAATGGTGTTGGTGCATCTCCGGACTTGCCATCTCTGCCGATCAGCTGGGGTGGTTTAGGGGGTCAATGTAGGCATACATTCCATATGGAGGGTCTGAGTTTTGATAAACGAGAAACCTCCAGACTTGCGGTTCTGCATTCTCAACAATGGAGCATGGCTCATCTCTCTCGTGTTTTCGAGCGACATTGGTCACTTGGACCAGTGCACAACAAAGTGATCCCTTACGGTCCTGGAGGTGTTCAAGAGGTTCTTTGGGATCCGTGAAGATGCTGAATCCAATCCAGACCACCTCTTCGAAGCTTTGCTGCTCATGCTGCCGCATGTCCGTTTGGCAGGACACCCTGTGGACTCGCTTCCCACGGAATGACGGGTCACATCGGGTGCCCTTCGATGCCTATGGGCGCGTGCCAGACGTGTCACCCTTCTGGAGAGCGTCTTGGCGCGCGCGACCGTTGGGTCACGACCGTTGGGTCAGCCACAAGCCCTGGAAGAAGCTGGAATCAAGCGTGGAGGTGATGTGTAATTATGATGTGATGTGTAACGAGCACCGGACGTGAATTACACGATTCGCAGGAGGAGCTGAGGAAGCTCAACATGTGCTTCAACTTGATGGTTCTTATACGGTTTTTGCGTTGGCTAGGAAGTAGGAATACGGTATACGTGCAAAGTATGATTGAAAGAGTTGTGGCAGATATTGATGTTTCACCTCAAGGGGAATCTCCAACATGTGTGGTGCTTGAATGGAAGATGAAGAAAGGATGAACACCAGAAGTCACATCAAGAGGTTTTTAGTCCCTAAGTGAGTGGATTATGGACCGGACTCCAGCCCTTGGTCTCCCGAGCAGGCCCCGATTCCGTCTCGCCAGGTTCGTTTGGCTGAGGAAGAATGGATATAGATTGGGGGCGTCCCAGGCTGCCTGTAACGGTCGGTCCAACAATGATCACTATTGTGGAGAAAGGCCTGGCAAATAGGATAATATATATAATCCCGGTTGGAATTTCCTCTATGGAACCGGGCCACCCAGGACGGAGGTGAATTTCAAAGGGGATTATATATATATATACCCAGATATAGACTCATTCGAGGTTTATTTTTTTCTTTTGGGGTCAAATCCAAGGTTTGAGACAAACCCACGGGCAGGAGTATTGCCTTTGCCCATACCATAGCATGGACTAGCAAAACATATATATATATACACACACATACATACATACGGACTTGTTACATACATTTATGTACCCATATTTGCACCACTGAGCCCAATGTAAGATATGTAAGTAACTATTCCTGTTTGCACCATTCCCAGGTCAAGGATGTGGGATATCTCCTCATCGAGTGCCCGAAGCAAGTCCAATGCAACGAGCGGCGAAGCCCAGGGTGCAGGGCGCAGGGTTAGAGAGTGCCTGTTGGACACCCAGGTTCAGAACGAACCTCAAAACCGACCTAGAGGAACCGGTGGATTTCATGATTTTTCCATGATCTTCCAAGCCTGAGGATCTTCCTGCAATTCTCACCATTTCTCGTTTTCAACATGTAGTGTGGGGCTTTCCCACTGCCGGCCTAGTGCCCACTGCGCATTCAGCATGAGCCTCCTGTGTTTTGAGAAAGGACTCCCCCCAAAAAAAGTAACCCATATTCTCGACGTTTCTCTTCGGTTTGACACAGGAAGCACCCCCAAAAAGGAGGACTCCACGGCACCGCGCCACGGAGCGGTCCATAGGTCCAGAAAAGATGAGATCATGTAATCGATGTGGCTTTAGTATCCCTTGGGCTCCAGTCGTACCTTCTGAGAAGGTGGGACTGGGGTGGGTTCAGAGGGTCCAGATACCTTCTGAGGTACTTGGAGCCCTAGGGCCCTAGGGTATAGGGCAGCCTTCCTGGGGATGATGGTTGACAATGGTTCAGATCAATCCTCACACCAGCTTGTTGATCCTAACAGTTCGAGGTTGCTGCGTCGCGCGATTTGGCTGATTTGCCGCAAGGAGGCCCGCATTTTCCCAGGGTTGGGTCAAGTTCCTGTGAGGAAACTTAGCACATGCCAACTCATCACCTCTCGATCCAAAGATGGTTAAAGTGGCAGGGACGTTTGCTGGTTCAGCGTTGGCATCTTTTGTAGACTCTAGGTTTGCCATCGGATCCACCATGCAAAATCATGCAACATCTATGTAGTGTACAGGATGGGATGCAGACTGGCAATACGGGAAACACTGGTCGAGTCGTGTCCCTGCTCTTCAGATTCGTTGCCTCTTTGAGCACCCCAAGCGGGGAAGGACGAATGGAATTTGTTGTTGGCCCAGGTTTGATGTTCCATGTGTTCCATCTTAAATCAAGCTCTCCACCAGTCTTCCAGCTGCCCCAACAAACTTTGATCACTCAATCCAGTCCAGTCTTCCCCTTCGGTTTTGACTGTGTTTGTTTCTGATTGGACCCACTGCACCCAACCTGCAAATTAGAGCGACCAACCCACAGTCCCAGCGGTCCCAGAACTACACCAAACCGCCTCCACGGCGGCTGCACCCCGGCTGCAGGACACGTCCTCTGCGATGGATCTCCTCCGGCGCCTGTTGGGCAGTAACGCTGCTGAGCTGTTGCAGCGCTGGGCGCGGACACGGGCGCGGCAGTCACGCGAGAGGTGATGAGGCTGAGCGGAGGCGCCCAGCGGAGGCTCTTGTTGATGCGGTTCCCTAGAGAAATCCAAGAGGGGATCCACACAGAAGATATTTGGACCCTCCAAGCCTAGATATAAAGTTTCTCCAGTTATCCTTGGACAGTTACCCTCTCAGAGGGTTGCATTTGGATCCATAGGCCAGGGAAAGAACATAGCTGGAGGTTTGGGGAGAGTCAAAGTTGGGCTCAAATTTGGCGGGTTACAGACTGGACGATGCCGTGGTGTTACAAAATGGTGGAGTCACCACTGGTCAGAGCTTACTGTTCTAGCCCAACATCAATATTTATATATATATATACAGTATATAGTTAATATAGACAATACGAGTTATAGTGGTCCCCAAATAGATAGAACATAATAGAAAAGTAAATCCCGCCCAGTTAAACATGTATTACACATTTGGACACCGGTTCGATCTATTTGGGGAATTTTGTAGTGTAGATTTGAAGAGACATCCAACGTGTTGGTGGATCAGTGCGGAGGTGATGTTTGACCGACAATCCGCCGACTGCGCTTGGGTTTTGGGACCGACCTGGCTTTTCTCGTTGGAGTTGGCCATCGAGCTAGCGTTACATGACAGCCCATGTCCATTCAAACGACGGCGCCAAAGAACATATGGATTCTTTTGAATGTTGAATTGATTTAGATGCCCTTTTCAGTGTAGGTGTGTTTGTGTTGGTGCAAGTTGGCTTCCTCGTGGTGAAGATAGTGCATAGGGCCTGGCATTTGGGAAGATGATTGCTTGCCCGGCCTGTGCTCGGCGAGCCCGGCTGGCCACTTGTGGCCCTGCACACTCCAGGAGGAGGTTTGATGGCAGCCAGCATGACATGCGTGAATGATTTGTCGTGCTGGGCTTCTCTTGGCTGCACTCCTGGTTTGCACAGACCTCATTGGTGGTGAGAAGCTCAATAGTCTTAGGCTTTTAAGGGGGCTTAGGCTAGTGATAAATCTCACTGCACAGCACTGTAAAGTATAGTCTTTTGCTTCAGGTTCCCCAGTGTCCAATCCTTGCTTTCTGGACCGGCACGTTCAACACCTCAATAAATCCAATATCCATGCGCGGCTGAAGATCAGCGCGAGCTCCACGACACCTCAGAGGGCGGAAAAAGAAGGCGGATTCGCGTCCCTACGCACGTTCTTCCGATTGCACACCTTTAACCCTCCTGGACTCTAAAGAAATGTGCATTTGCAGAAGACACTTTTAGGTGCTGGCCCTTTTCAGGGTTCAGGTTAGTTTTAGATGATTCAAGAATGCAAGGCATTGCAAGGCTGTGCAACTCAATATGTTTGTATGAGACACTGCTGAAGAGCAGGCAAAACAGGAGAAAACTCTTGCAGTACTGTAGCCAGACCTAGTTATATACCTAGTTGCAACCATTTGCAACCAATCGTTTCACACAAGTCTTCGGGAGATTTGGGTGTTCCACTGAGGATCGTCAACCTCCTACATCTCCACCGGATCATCTGATCTCAGCACCATATATCACCTCAACCACTTGCTACCACTTCACCACTGCAACACACTTTTTTGGTTATGTGACACCTCATTCCTCAATACCTTTTTACAAGCGACCAGACCCCCCAGGGACTCAGACCCCAAGCGACCAGACGTTTGAGGTCGCAGAGCTCCAGCGCCGTGCGCAACTGCGCCTCCTGCTGGTCTTCGACGCCTGGGCACGCCGGGCCACCGTGGTGCGCCGGCGCCACTCGCAAGCGCAGGCGTGTAGACGGTGGACGACACCGGGAGGACGGACTTTGGGACTGTTAAGCGTAGATGTTCATGAACATTACTTTACTTCGAGTGATCCCCACCATGACATTTCAATCTTTTGTCTTGATGCCATAGTAGAGCTTTGGTCAAACAGCTTTAAGCCGCTCCTTCGAAGAAAACTTCTAAAAAAAGACCGTCATGAGTCGTGACTTTAGACCGGCTGACCCATGTATGACGTGTGCACATACTGAATCTTACGGACCGAATTCAAGTGACTTGGATGGGCGGTGGATTGTGTAAGCGTCACTACTGTCCGATCTTGAGCGAACTCCTGGCTCACGTCCAGCACGAGGAGGGCCACTTGCAAGGAGCTTGAATGAAATCTTGGCTCCTTGATGGTGGTCATGGGGTGCCCCCACTGCTGGACTTGGCGGGTCTGAAGACAAGAAGGCCGTTAACCGAGTCACGACGACCCAACATCAGTTGCTGAGTCCTTCGCTGGTGGGTTCCATCTCACCCAAAGGCTCATTGGACCCTCATAGCTAGGGTTTTGGACCTCAAACATGTAGCAGTTTGAGGGTCAATGAGCGTTTGGGCAGCGTGAAAATCATTGGGTGGGTGGACAGTGCCACCCCAGAAGGTTGAGCGAATGAGAGACCCAATCCATTTGCATGGAATCCTTGTGATCTGCTGCTTCCGACCTCTCAGGCGGTCGGCGACCGGTCCAGACTTCAACGCTCCCGGGAGGCGCGGTTGGGAGCGGCGGCGGTTGGGAGCGCGCTGTTTGGTGAAGCCTCATGGCTTCTAGGGTGTTGCGCTAAGGAGGAGCCCTCTGAAGGAGTCCTTCTTTGGTGAAGGAGCCCTCTGAAGGAATCGGTGAGGCAAACTGATCAATCTTCGCAGCAACAGATTTGTGACACTTGGTGCCGCAGCGAATCAAAGTGAACGAATCAATCGATGTCCAATTCACCTTGCCGTCACCCCCACCCGAATCCATCCCTGGAGCCGCTGCACCCATCCGAAGCGTCTTCGCGTCTTCGTTCACCGCCGGGAGTCGTTCGGAGTCGTGTCGTTCGTCGCAGGTGGCGGCGGGCTGGTTCCAGCAGCAGAAACGGCTCACCGCCGCGCGGCGCGTCTTCCAGGTCTTGGCGCGGGGACTTGGCCGAGCGAGGGGGGCCGGGCACCGTGGGAAGTCGGACCCGACCCGTTCGGTGAAGGTTCGGGTCCCAAGCCCTGTGTTCTGGGTGAAAACCCTCCAGTTCGGAGGGTCCAATGATTCTAAGGGTACTCGGTCCTTTGGTCCTGTTCCCTTGTGCTCTTCTCCTGTGGCCCTTCATACTCGTACCTTGCAATGAATGTTGAGAGACAGGAGCACCGATGTGCACCGATTTTTAAGGCATCTCCAGGGCCAAAGCCTATTGTGTTTTAAAAACTGGACTTTGAGGCAGGGTCTCAGTCTTAGGCTTCTGTTTGTGGAAGTACATAAGTTCGATCAAGCGTAGGATGCTTGTGTGGAGCGGTGTCACTTTTGCTTGGCAGATCGTTTGTTTCTGCCAGGGCCCGTCCTAGATCCCCAGTGGAGGTCGCTGAACTTGCTCTTGGTGCCCACTGTGAGGGTATGAAATGCAGCTTCCAGACACTGGAGTTTTCAGACCTTGACACGTGCGTCGAGGACTGGACGTCTTTGCACCTTGGAGCGGTGTCTCCGTGGGAGCGCCGGGATGACCTCCAAACCGATCCGAGTGGCGGCTAGGATGAGCTGGGCCTGTCCAGCTAGACCCGGATGAGCGCCGCAGGGCCGCGGCCCGTGGGGGGTCGCTGACGCAGGGCTGCCTGACCTGTCTTGGGCTCCAGCGGGCCCGGGGTGTTTCACTGCCGCCATGGACGGGTATGCGGGGCCTGCCTTGTGCCGCTTGGGAGGCTTGGACGTGGTTGGTACATGTGGATGTTGCTTGGGTGGATTGGGAAGTTCCAACAGGATCCAACTAATTACCTTGATCTTGAGAAATCGAGTTGGATCCACCCGATGCGATCCACCGACTTGGATGCAACTTACCTGAGTTTTGCACGTGGAGCATGTGGAGTCACAGTCCTTTTCCAATCACATGTGGTTCTCAACACTCAACTGTTTGTCCTTTCTCCCCCTCCCTCTCTCTCTCTCTCTCGTGCTCGCTCTCGCACTTTTAAAATATGTGCTTTCCTTAATTGTTATAAGAAGAGAAAGACAACTCACAATTCCCGTACTCCCGTCCGAGAGGAGAGGGCGAGGATTCAAAAGGCTCATGAGGGCTAATGGTCCATTTGCATCTGAAAGAGGGCCGAGTGGAGCTGTGAAGGGCTGTGCCAGCGCCCTCCACCGGCGCTCGCCAGTGCGCTCTCCCGCCAGGCGCCGGCCAAGCCGGCTGGGAAGCCCCAGAGATGGAACATGAGAAGAGGCACGGGATCCGAGCGGAGCCTCCACCGGAGTGAGGTTCCACGAGTGCGTGAGGTGCTTCTGGAAGCTGGACATGCTTCGGGATCCTAATATAATACCAAAAAAAGAACGGGACCACCACCAGCATCCTCGGTCACCACCATGCCACTTGTTTATTCCTCCAACAGCCACCAGAGCGAGCACCCGTAGAGTCGGGTGCTCGCACAAACACAATAACACACGCCCACACACACACACACTGAGATCAACCTCGCATACAACGTATCTATAACCTCATTCGTCGTGCGGCCATGTGTGATGGATTTCGTGGTGCAGCCATGGTCACACCACCGGTGGGGTGCGCCGTAGGCGACGCCACCAGCGCGTCGCCAGCGCCCTAACTACTAGTAGCATCCTTGCTCCGTTCGTAGCGATGCCCTTTGCTCCTAGTAGCTTCTTGCTCCTAGTAGTAAGGCTAGGAGCGACTAGTAGCGTCCTTCACGCGCGCCCTCAGGCCTTGGGAGGAGCTCCACTCCGAAGTGACCACCGCGGAGAGTCGCCGGAGAAACGCTCCGCCGGAGAGGCTGGGGCGAAGAAGGAAGGAAAGCGGCATCTGCGGGTTTGGGGGTTCGAGTGGTGTTGGTCTTTTTGCGCAGAAATGCACCTACAGGTTGGCCCTGAAAATCCTGAAAGTATCCCGGTCCCCACAATATGTTTTTGTTTCAGTGTGCGCACGCTCGCGGATTCGTGGTGCTATGACTGTGGAGAGACATGTAACATTGACTCTGACCACTCAGAAACCTTTGCTTTGTGGAATTTGAGGATCTACAGGTCTACCTGCGGAATATGCGTTTGAGGATGTTTGAGGTCACATAGGCAAATTGTACGTATTGCCAGTCAGGCCAGTCACGACCAAACACGTACTGTACACCCGAAATCTTGGGTCATATGCCCGCCTGGGATCCAGTGGTACCTGAAGGTGATTGGAGGCACTGTGATGTAGGTTTTGAGAAGGTACGCCTGGATCCGGCTACGTGTGCCTCGAAAGTCCGCCCTGTACGTCCACTCGGAGCAGCCTGACGTCGATCCCATACGCTCGGTACGGTCCGGAAAACGGCTGAAAAGAAGGAAGAAGCGACCCTCTGCAAAATAGCTAACTGCATGAGATACACTCCGGAAAACTCACTATGAAACCTGAAACAAACCACTGGGTTGTAGAGGAAAAGTCGTCTTCCAGTCAGGTCCATGTGACCTGGTTCCATGTGAGTTTTCGGGCGTGATAATCATATATAACATATGATAGACTATGATAGACTATGTCACTGTATGTACTTGGGACCTTGACTGTGACCACTCTTCTCTCAGGATCTCTGCCTACTCTCGGGGCTCCAGCCAAGCCTCTGGAGGCCTGGTGGAGCCTCTGGAGGCCTGGAGATTGGTTGGTTGGAGGTGTTTGTTGCACATGGAGCGGCGGGTACAGATATGATGTGTTTTATTCATGTTCAATACTAAAACGCTGAAGAAATATTTTTTTAAAAACATATTTTCAAAGCATCAGCCTTATCATCCAGTGTTTGCATGCCCCTAGAAACTGGGGAACCTACTCGTGGAAGGGCTTCTCTCGTGGAAATGCTGAAGAACCACTGGCAAACTTCCTTGCCTTAACCTTTGTCTTTGGCAAGTTATCATGTGGATATTTTTACATAGGGTGCTCCCTCCTCACTCACTGTACAGCTGTTTAGCTTCATCGAGGGGAGCAACATCCTCCAAACCCCTTGTTCTTAGCTGCTTTGGGGAGGACTTCATACATAAGGGGATGTAAGTGCAGGATCGCCAAGTTCGAGGCCCAGGGACTTTTAAAATTTTAGAGCTTTGGGAATTATATAAGAATCTTTTGCTCGGACAAAAAGCGCAGGAGCTCGCTGCGGACACCAGCAGCAATGGTCACACCTGCAGCGATGGTCACACGGTGAGCTCGGGCAGGGGCTTGGATGTCATCGCACGCACGAGGCAGAGGATCAGACCCTTGGACTTTTCCGAGTTTTTCTCGGCGGACGTTTTAGTTACTTTTTTCCGCCTCGTCGCGTCAACCGTTGGGCGTGCTGCTTCATGCGGGACTGTCGTGGGGAAATATACTATTGGATGGAGGAATCCATCCTTTCTGGGGATGTGGTTGATAATAGTAAGGCGGCGGCGAGTGAACTGCCCCTCTGCAGAGCTCTTTGCAGGGAACATCATTTCTCATATAATTACTTCGATTTCGATTTCCATGAAGCCCTAGGGCTCCAAGTACCTCGTCAGAAGGTATTTGGACGCTCCAAACCCACCCCAGCCACACCTTCTCAGAAGGTACGACTGAAGCTGCAGGGAAATGATTGTTTGAAGAGTGGCTAAGTCTTGGGCGACAAGAGGCAGACCGATTTTTCCAGAGACTTCTGCGGGACCAGTTCCGACCGTGTGGCTCTAAACGATTCTAAACGCCCCGCTGTCACTTGCCCAAGACATGGCAAAACATTGCAAAACCATCCAGGATTGCAAAGAAAGACTCCAAAGTTCGGAGTTCGTTTGTGATAGGTTGATTCTCCCGTGCTTCGTTTGTGTTCCAAAGAATTCCTGCTGCAGAAGGCCACCCTTTCGCGTCAAGATGTTGGACTCTCCCTGTCGACCTGTGCGACCTTTTGGATGACGTTGGTTCGTCCGAAAACCCAGTGAAGCTAAGGAGAGGTCAGGGAGCGGGAAAGGCTGCTTGGAATGAGAAGAGAGCGAAGGACGCGAAGAATTGGAGCGGCAAGTTACATGGGAAGGGGGGGCAAGACAGATCTACACTCCAACTCACTAACATGGAAGTGGAAAACCCACTGTTTGTAAAGGAAAGTAGTCTTCCAAGAGGCTATGTATTGTATAAATATATATATACACACACATGCCCATAATCATTTCAAAACCGATGGCGTGGATGTATTGAGTTGCGCCACTTTTGTTGCACAAACTGAGTGGGGCCATTTACTCTTCACTAGGCGGGGTATCAGCAACGCGGCACCGGGAGACTAAACAAGTGCTTGTTTGCAAGATTTGGTTATGAGTTTCGAATGTTTTTTAGTTTTTAGTATAAACCAATTCGAGCTACTAGGCAGTTATTTGTGGTGCAACAGTTTTGGAGGGCAGAGGCCAAGAGCACTTTGCTGAGTATCATATAGGTCTTGGACGCTCATTGCCTTGTCAATTTTGCCGCTGCTCATTCACGCCTCTTCACCATTTCCTGGGCCAAGGGTGAACCAAAAAAAAACCACGGTATTGGCATGGCTGTTCACATCTTGTATCTATCTCTGACTCCAACTTGCAAAGAGGGACTCCACAACCATTGAAGCATGATCCATGTGAGCAACAGTGTCAGGCGCGAAAAGATTCACAATGATTCACATGTGGCCGCTGAGTGCTTAACTGGCCCTTGGGCGACGCAGTCACAGTTCATATCATGAAGCATCATGAAGCCTTGCCCATCCGACTGACGCGAAGTCCGAATCCATGGTGGTCAATGGCTCATGACGTGCCAATCTTCATGGCGTTTGAAGCAGATCGGCCGTTAGGTCCGCTTCTCCGCAGTATTGCAATCTGCCACGCAGTCCGATCACAGAGCAGTTCGGAGTTTGGATTGTGCAAGTCTGTCGCATGCGGTCGGCGCTTTCCCAATTGGTCGAGAGGACGCCACAAGGAGTTGTTGGCTTTCATGATGGGCGGATGATAGTTTCCATCACCGCAAGTGGGTGATGGCATGCAAAGTGCCGGCGGCACGTTTACAGAAGCAAACCAAGCAGCTTGGGTCGGAGCTACCAAGCTGCTCAATCAATCTAAACCCACAGAAGATCGACCAGCACCCGACTTGTGACAACCGGTCACTCACAAAGAATACCAATGTTCACACCCATTTAGCACCCCACCTGTGAGGGTGCTGGAAGATGCTTGTGATTTCAAAACCAGGTCCTTTATTTGGAGAACTTTTTGGATGGCTGATCCTTTATATATGTTTTTGTTGAATGTATAGTTGTGTAAAAATCCACTAGCAGTGCGTGGAAGGGCTGTTTGTTTGAGTGCAGTTTGAGATCGGAAGGAAAAGCCAGATTGATTTGAATCGGACAGTTTGTTGATTTTTGTTTGAGGCAGCGAGAAAAACTAACATGTGTGGGGGCAGTGGGACCATCCATGTCACTAACAACATGATTTGAGCATCAAGCTTTCTCCACGAGATTTTAGGTGCACCGACCAACTCTGAGGTTAGAGCGGCTTCGCGAACAAGAAGAGGCCGGTTCATCAGCACCCGGTGGCACCCGATCGTTTCGCAAGACTCCGCAGTTTGCCGGATCCATGCCTTCATCCGAGTGCCGACGCTCTCAATCCAGAATCCATCTCTCCGTGCCTTGCTCGCGTGACTTCGTGCGAGTGGAAGCAGATCGTGAGGCCTCTATGAGACGCCAGGAGCAGCAGCAACAGCATGAGCAGAGGATGAAGCGCCAAGAGAGTGAGAAGCTTCTTGGGATCGGATTGGCGGGGTACCTACAGAGGTTAAGTGACCTTATAGGACCCGGGGTACCTATATAGGATAGTCTATAGGATTGTATAGGGTTCTTCAACCTCTGCCGGTAGGGGGGTGGCGTGGCGTTGATGCGAGGAGAGCCGGAACTGGGGAGGTCGTGAATGTGTTTGGATGGCGATGATTTGGGGAGCCCTTCTCAAGGGAACATGGCACACACACACACACACGCACACCTTTATAATGCATTATGTTTCATTATAAACCTTATAACTTATAATGTTTTAATTCCATGAGCCAATGCATCAAATGTTTGGTTGCTGTTGGATGTGTTTCTTCCCAGACGTTCATGACTTTCACGTTTTCCTTCGACCATCTAACCGTTGAGGGTCGAGTGCGATCTCCAGAGACGAGTCGAGACGAGTGCTAGTTCGAAACATCTCCAGGCAGACATGCAGTTTGGCCTGACCTGGAAAACAGGTGGCACACACCAGAAATCCATCGATTGTTGTATACAACAAATTTATGATTTCGCTCACTGAAGCAGGTGCGATAGGGTCACCGCTCTTCACTGATGCTAGACATCATGACTGCATGACTGAGTCAGACTTGGTTAACATGAGTCATTGAGGGGTCGGTGATGATGGGGAACAACATGATGGGTTTCACCATCTTTAGGCGCCGCCGCCGGCAGATGCAGCGGAAGGAGGAGGAGCTGCAGGCGAGTGCACAGGCAGAAGAAACACGCAAGGCACGAGAACACGGCCGTGCAACTTGGCAGGGGGAAGCCTTTTTTTGGGGGGGGTGTCGCACTTTCTGAGAGAAGCATCGTGACCTTTGTGCAGGGCTGGGCGGGGTGGGTGGTTCGAGATGCCACGCACTTTAGGAACGACTTGAGATTTTTGAGCTTCTGATTGAGAGATTGCCTGCCCCAGGCACAAGTGGAGTCAGTGAAACGCATTATTTCAACCTGGCTTTCTGTTGCTGTAGGCCCAAGGATGGGCCCTTCAAATCCGAGAAGGGCACTCTACGCACCCATCTGGCCGTTTGGTTGATCAGTTCCCGTCAGTTCCCCCAAAAGGCGAAGCCTTTCAATCCCCAAACGCTCGAGCCGCTCCATGTAACTAAAAATAACACACACACACACACGCACACACATATTATATATATATATACATAACCTTATAGAAGTCCAAATACTATATTTTGACCGATTGAAGTAAAGGACATTCCTTTTCGGGTCACCTAAAGACCACTCTTTTTGTCTTTGACTCCCAGGGTATATAGCTAAATATCTATACCATCTAATACAATCATATGCTGATCAGTTGGGGTGGTTGATCCGCTTCTGTGCTTCAGACCTGACGGGGTCCCGAGGAACAGGAAGAGAAGCTCAAGCTTCTGCAGAAACATGCGCAGGCCTGTAAAGCTCAAGCTTGCACATGTGGGTAGTCCTGCTATGACCTTCCTATACCTATCATCATCATCATCATCATCATCATCATCATCATCATCATCATCCTCATCCTCATCCTCATCCTCATCCTCATCCTCATCCTCATC